CGTTCAGACCTCCTGCTGCAGGAGCAGAGGTGACTGCGACCCCAGCTGCTGGCCTTCCCGGGTCACTCTGCTGCTGCTCAGAGCCACACTTCCTACCACAGGAGGCTTCCAGCCACAGACTGGGCAAGGAGGGGGGACTCATGCAGGCCATTCCCTCACTCCACAGACTCCTTTTTAATAAACATTGTTTTCAAGTTTTCATCCTTTTAATTCTTGTAAAAAATCACATTATTGAGGTATTCATACATAAAAAATATATACATATTTAATGCATACAACTTGATGAAATTGGAGATAAGCCCTGGCTGGTGTTGCTCAGTGGACTGAGTGCCAGCCTGCGAACTGAAAGTTCACTAGTTCAATTCCCAGTCAGGGCACGTGCCTGGGTTACAGGCCATGTCCCACTGGGGGCCTGTGAGAGGCATCCGATCGATGTGTCTGTCATACACTGATGTTTCTCTCTCTTTCTCCCTCCCTCTAAAAGTAAGCAAGTAAAATCTTTGAAAAGAAAAAAGAAATTGGAGATAAGTATATGCCCATAAAAGCATCACCATAAACATATCCATCTACGCCCTCAATAGAAGTTTCCTTTCGCCTTTTTTATCATCATCATCATTTTGTGATACGAACACTTAAAATATATCCTTTAGGAAATTTTTAAATGTATAATACAGTATTACTACCAACAGGCATCGTGCGGTACAGTAGATTCTAGAATGTATTTATCTACTACATACATCTAGAATGTATGTAATTGCAACATGGTGCTTTCTGGCTAATGCCTCCCCCCTTCCCCTGCCTCCCAGGCCATTGCAGCCACCATTCCACACTCTGCCTCCGTGAGTTTGACTGTTCTACATTCCTCACATAAAGGGTATCATATCCTATTCACCCTTTTGTGTGTGACTTGTTTCACTTAATTTGTCATCCAGGTTCATCCATATTGTCACAAATGGCAGGATTTCGGTTTTCTTTAGCCCATTTTATTAATGCACTCAGGGACTGCCCACATCACCGTGCCGCAGCATCACCCTCTTCCTCCCAACCTCCTTCCTCCCCTTCTGCAGGTGTCAGCTCTGCACGGCTGCGGCAGCCTCTCCCACTTTCCCCCGCTCCCTCCCCTGCACCCTTCCCAGATGGCCCCCGTAGTAAATCTCTTGCACGTCTAATTCTGTCTTGGCTTCTGCTTCTTTGAGGATTCAGACTAACACAGAAATGAATCAAGTGTCATTAATCCCCTCTAAGATGGAGACCTTGGTTGATATAACAAAGATAGAGCCCCATCAAAGAGTTCCTTATGAGGTGTAAATGTCTTGTTTGAAACTCTAAAGGCCAGACTTTCCCAGTTTTCAAATACACAGAATTATATCAAAGTGTATGATTCATTGATGCAGCAAATGTTAACTGAGTCCTTCCTACATGCCACACACTGAGAATCAGTGGTGGAGAAGAAAGAGCTCTGGCAGAGCACACAGTCCAGTGGCAGGAGCCAGGCTCCTCTGTTCAACTATTTATGTCTCATTCGTGGGTCTGATAAACATCTCACAGTCAGCATGTGCAAAACTGGACTCATCTCCTCCCACCAACTCTGCTTCCCCCTCAGCCTTCCCCATCCCAGGTGATGGAATCTCTATCTTTCCAGTTGCTCATCGGTGTTGGGGTATCTTCAGAAGACAGCCAGACTCAGGCTGGTCCTCTGCTGCTGCCTCTCTAGTCTGAGCCACCAGAACCCCCTGCTTGGGTTTCCACAAGAACCTCTCAGCGGGTCTCCTTGATTCTACCCATGCCTCCCAGCAGTTTATTCTCAACCCCGGTAACCCCAGTGATCTTTAAAAGAGAAGTTAGAATACATCACTCTGTTCAAACCAAGTGATGCATCTCCCTTTCACTGAGTAAAAGTCAAAATCTGTATAGCGGGCCATCACCATCAGCCCTATGTCTTCCCTCCTCTCCTCACTCAGTCTGCGCGGCCACACTGGCTTCCAACGTGCCAGGCATGCTCCTGTGGGGGCCGTCACACCTGCTGCTCATCTGTCCTGGACGCTCCTTCCCCAGTCACCGGTGTGGCTCACTCCGCACCTTCTTCAAGTCCATCTCAGACGTCACCTTCTCAGTGAGCCCTACCCTGACCACACTGAGGATTTTGAAATCCACAGCCCCTTGGAAATCCAGATTACCTTACATTTTTAGACTTCTTTCACCAAAGAATTTACCAGCATTTATTAGACTGTGTAAGTGGGTTTTTTGTTTCTTGTTTATGGTCCGTTTTCCCCAACAGAATAGGAGCTCCACAAAGACAGGGCTTTTTGACCATTTGGTTCACATGATTGGCATTCAATGAATATTTCCTGAATGAAGTGCCTTCATGACACCAAAGCAGGGCTATGTAGAAGGAGTGACATGGGGACAGGGATGGGGGCGGGGTGGTTACTTTGCACAAGATTGTTCCCTGGACTCTGGGCTCCTTGCAGTCAGGGATGGGTAGGAATCCTCAGTGCCCCACACAGAGTGAAGATGCAATAAACTCTGGTCGAATCTCATTGATTGAGAGCAGGAGGCTGGACCAGGCATCTCTTGGGGATGTTTTTAAAGGCATTGCAGTTTATTTGCTACTCTTGACATTTCCTTGGTCATGACACCTCCCGGAATCTGCTCACTTCTCTTTTATATTTGCCTGCACTTTCTACTTAAGATAGACTTTGCACCAGATCTTGAACCTGTTTTTATCCATTTTAAGGGGAAACCAGAGAGGAGGGAGATGGCCAGGAATTTGAACGGAGAAGGGGATCTGTTCCGTTTTGTTCCTTGGATCAGAAATCCCACCAAGGGCTAAAACTGCATGGCAACATCCTATGTAAGCCAGTAGCCCTAACCATGCCAAGACCACTGCAGTTCTTAATTTTTTTTTGGGGGGGTTGTGGTGGTGAGGGAGACGTGACAGCATTGTTGGTTCCCTGAGTGACTGGCACCAGCTGGTTTCAGACGGCTGTCGGAAGGCCTTGAGCACTTCTGTGAGGCAGGCTTACAGTGCTGCGTGCATCTTGCAATCTAGTTGAAAATAATATCTCATAGCTCACCTACCCAAAAGCTGAAAACATTTCTGAAAATATTTTGTAATTATAATGCTAGGTGTGGGCCTTTAGCACATCTCATGGCCTCTTGGGAACTCAAGGTGCCTCTTCTGGAGCACTCAGCACATCATGGCCCAAGCAGATTCCGTGCTAAATGCCTGCCTTATACGATTGTTGGGAGAATTTTTTTTTTTAAGATTTTATTTATTTATCTTTAGAGGGGAAGGGAAGGAGAGAGGGAGAGAAACATCAATGTCGGGTTGCCTTTTGTGCATCCCCTGCTGGGAACTGGCCTGCAGGGAATCTGCCTGCAACCCAGGCAGGTGCCCTGACTGGGAATCGAACCGCGATTGTGTGGTTCGCAGGCCCGTGCTCAATCCACTGAGCTACACCAGCCAGGGCTTGATTGTTGGGAGAATTTAAGAATATCATCGTATAGCCAACACAATGAATAGTTTCCTGCCAAGCACTGGGCTCAGTACTTTTCTATGCATTGTCTAACTAAATCCGTAATAAGCCCATGAATAAGATCTGCCATTTGTTGCATACACTTTGTGGATGAGGTTAAATGACTTAACTGAGGCCACCCAGCTAGCAGGGGCTGTGTGCCTGTGTCTCCTTGCTCTTGCTCACCGAGTGCAGGCAGTGAGCCAGTACATGGTGAAGTGCTGGAAGCAGCATAGCTGTCATCTTTGGGGGGGTTACGGAGATTCCTAACATTCTCCTCTTGCCTTCCCCCACCCCTCTGAATTTGAACACAGATGAACTTGAGACCAGCTAGTCATCTAGGGCAAGCCTGAAGCGGGGAAGGGGTCATAGCAGACTGAGAAATGTGTGGGAGCAGGGCTGGGGCTGGCAGGGCCCACTACTGCCTGGGCATCAGGCAGGCTGGACCGCAGACTTTACTGACTGTATGCACATTGGCTTCAGCTCTTTTTCTTTTTAAGCAAGACCGTATCTTCTTTCAATCCCTAGCAGGAAAAGAGGAAAAAAGAGGGAAGGGTAGGAAAGAGAACTTCAATGAAGGACGGAGCCTGTAAATAAAGTATTTTATTTTTCTCATTTGTAAAATCATTTAACTTCTGTAAGCCTCAAATCTCATCTGTAAAAATAAAAAATAACATCTCACTGACTGAATTGTAAATGAAACATGTGCCAAGCACACAGAAGCTTAATTAATATCAACAATAAAAATAATAATGATATGGTTATGTGTCTAAACCTTAGTTCTCTCCAATAAGTAAGTGCTCAATAAATACTAAAAATCTTTATATCTTTATTTACTGTTGTCTAATATTAAGACAATTTTAATGAATTTATTGGGGTGATATTGGTTGATAAAATTATATAGGGTTCAGCTGTACAGTTCTATAGTACATCATACCGCATTGTGTGTTTACCACCCCGTGTCTCTTTCTATCACCACTTAACCCCCCTTTACCCAGTCTGCCTCCCCCCACCCCGGTAATGACCACTCTCTTGTTTGTCTATGAGTACTGTTTTTTAAAAAAATCAGAGTCCGCGGTTACGGGCAGATACGCAGTAATCAGTGCTAGAGCACCCCCTGGTGCCTATCCCGGCACAAACAGAACCGATGATCCAGGTGGCCCCTCTCTCCCCACCCAGTCTCCTTGCGCCTGGGGCAGAGAAGGCTGCGCCCTGCTGCTGACGGTCCACCCAAAGGTGCTCCCATCAAAGAAAGTTAACATTAACTCATAATGATTAAGAATAATTCCCTAAATATATCTGATCCTTATAAAATCAGCTGGTGTTTACCATTTCTCCCCCCCCCAAAAAGGAAAATTCATGTGGTCGAACCTAATCATCGCTGCTGTGTGGGGAGCAATGAAGAATCAGAGCAAGTGGTTTGAAAAGTGCTAACGCAAAGGAAACAGAACACGACTTTGAGTGTGACTCTGTGGCCTGTGGGATCTGGAGCTGGGGGAGGAACAACGGCTCCTCACATGTAGTCAAACCCCTCAGAGATTTGAATCCTTGGGGCTGTTCTCCTAATTTGCTATCTTTCCTCTAACAGCTTGCACCCTTGGATCCTGCCCTCACCTCAGTCAGGGACGGGTGGTGGCAGGCTTTCCTACAACACCCGCTTCACGGCTACTTCACACACGCCCGCTGTGTCTTTCCACTTCAGAAAAGACCCCCGTCAGAGCCTCAGAGGACAATGGGTCTGAAGCCCAGACCCTCTGCAGAGCCCTTCTGAGAAAGACTGGATTTGGAGGGGGCAGGGGTCACAAAATCACCAATGTCTCTGAGCCCTAAACTCCATTAATTACATTTTTCAAAAATTGGAATAGACCAAACTATTCAATCACTTCCCCACCTCACCTTCCAAACCTTAAGGGATTAAGCATTACAAAAAAAGAGAGAGAGAGAGAATTTTTAAATGGAATATATTATGCAGGAGACTATAGGAGAAATTATGCTGCTTAGGGACTGCTGGGCAGAGTGCAAATTGGCACAGATTTTCCATGACAGGATCTGAATGTGTGTATTAGGAGCCATTAAAGCTCTTGACCAAGTAACTCTTTGTCAGGAACCTGTCTGGGGGGACCTTTTCCCCCCTTTGCAGGAACTTCAACAGACTCCAGTTGAAAAATTCACATCAGTTACTACTCAAAATGAAGCCATCGGTTGGCCACATGTGCTATTCTGTGTGCCTTTTACTGATTCCCCATTCCCTTCCCACGCCCCTGCCCAGCGCAGTTAAGTTGAATGGGAATTCAGCAGATGCAAACCACACGCTGAACAAACTCTTTACAACAGCTATTGCTTCTCCAATCAAGAGTTGACTTTGTTAGGGGGAAAAACAAGCAGGCAAATCCATGGGTCTGGCCTTTCGTACTCAGTGTTGGTCAGGAAGCAGCGGGGAAAACAACGTCTTGGCCCCAAACTGAATATCAGTTTCATTCGCATGTGAAGGAAAGATGAATATTGCTGCCTAATTTCAGGAATCCTGTTCAGACATGCTAGTGAGCTCCCAGAAACTGACAAGAGACCAAGATCCTTTAATGCAAGTGTCCCCAAGCTTTGGGGAAAAAACAACTGACTTTTAAAGAAAACTCTTGATGTGCCAGGAGAGGAGATGCTAGAGTTAGTCCAATTTGCAGAGGAGTGGCGTCGCCACCATTTGTACCCCTTTCTTTCTGAAAACTTCAGCGAACCAGGAACCCCATAAAGACAGGCGTGCTACCAAGAACCAGGCTGAGGACATGTTGGAAGTCGGTAACAACCTACTAGTTGGAGGGCCTCATTTTAATGGAACCAGTGAAAAATGATGGATTCCCTAGCAGGGTGTTCATGCTGAGGTTCTTTATCAGACGAAAAGACAACCAACACACACATTCACATTTCACATCTGATTTTCAGCAGCGCTGAGTACATCTGTCACCAAGACCACAGCCTGCACGGGGACATGTAGTCATACGGATCAAAGGCTTGCATCTGATCCCAGATCTGTTGGGTTAACCATCCGCGCATTCTACTGTGTTGTCTACAAAGTCACAACGCACAGCACAGTGGAGCTCCAATGTGACAGGCCCCAAGGAACGGAGTAATGGCCAAGAGAGAACATGAGCCTGTGAAGGTGCACAGGGAGGCCACCTGAAGGTGAGAAGACCATTCATTCTACAGGCACCTGAGGGATGGCAGCACCTGAAACCTGGAGCTCGCAAGCTTCCCGCAGTGCCTACCTGAGTGTGCTTTTGGCTTGAAAGCCTTACTTCACACGTGGGCGGGCAGGTCAGTAATTTCCCATTTTGTGGATAATCCAGATGTACCAGGTCCCGGCAGTAGGGATGACATATGTATTTACCCTCTGAAAGAGAAAGCACAGAGGTTCCTGGTCAGCTGTTACATAGGTCTCTCTCCATGTGACAGGCAGAAGGGGATGTAAGCTCCTAAACCAAAAGCCAGCTTCTGGCCTGGGATAATCAAAATAAGTTTTCAAAAGGCCTACTGTTCACAATAATATTCTGAGCCCTTGGACCCCAGACAGTCCTGGCTTTCTCTGAAATGCAAACATAAATGCAGGGAGCAGATTTCACAACGACAGGAAATTGGGCCCTGGCCTGCGGAGCTCAGTTGGTCGGGCATCGCCTGCAGAGCCCGGGGTCGCTGATTTGGTTCCTGGTCAGGGCACATGCTAATGTCTCTTTCTTTCTTCCTCCCCTTCCTTCTCAGTAGGAGCAAATAAATAAATATGTTTTAAAAGACAGGAAATTAGGCTACTGCAAATTTCTTTTTGTGATTTTCTGATTGAGATAAAATTTACATAAATTCATCATTTTAAAAAGTAAAATTCAGTGTTTTTGAGTAGATTCATAATGTTGTGTAACCGTCACCACCAGTGAATTCCAGAATGTTTCCATGACCCAAAGAGTAAATCCCTGACCTGTTAGCAGTCACCCCCATTCTCTTCTTCCTCTGTGTCCTGGCTACCGCTGATCTATCAATATCTCTGTCTCTGTGGATTTGCCTGTTCTGGACATTTCATATCCATGGAAACCACACAATACGTGGCCTTTTGTGTCTGGCTTCTTTCACTTGGCAAAGTATTTTCAAGGCTCATCCTTGTTTTAGCTTGTGTCAAAATTTCATTCCTTGTTATTGCTGAATAATATTCCACTGCCTGAAAGCGCCCCATTTTGCTTATTCACTCATCAGCTGAGAGACATTGGGTTGTTTCCATGCCCAGGAGTGGAATTTGCTGGGTCGTGTGGCAACTCTATGTTCGATTTCTTGAGGGACTACCAAACTACGTAAATTTTTTATTTTTAATTTATTTATTTTAGAGGGAGATGAAAGGAGAGAAAGAGAGACACATCAGTTTGTTTTGGATTCATTCGTTGATTCTTCTATGTGCCCTGACTGGGGACTGAACCTGCAACCTTGCTGTATTGGGACAACGCTAACCAACTGAGTTGCCCAGCCAGGACTACAAATATATTTTTAAAGCCCTTACGACAGCCACATTCCCCACATAGACAAAAGCTTCAACTCTATTCACTAGCAAATAGCTCTCTGAACAGTCGTGTAGTAAAGAAGGGGGATCTTAGATTACGAACTACTTAAGGAGCCTTATTTATGAAATAACTTCAGCAGTTGAAGAGCTGTCTGGGCCAGCGGAACGCTGGAGGAAAGTCAGGGTGGGGGCTGTACAGGAGGTTCTCGTTCTAGCCCCGGACAAAGGAGTCCATGTTGTCTTCATCATCTTGAGATGATGGGGGAGTGAGTGGGCAAGAAGCCAGAAAGGTGAGTTAAGAACGCATTTCATCTGCTCCACTAATGATCAATATAATCTCTACAGTAAAGCCCATAAACATTTTGGGGGCCCCATTGCTGTCAATAAAGAAAAAAATACAGACACACCTCGGTACTCGGTGGCTTCAGAACTCATCAAACCCTCTACTCATCACATTTTGATGAGAAAAAAGTGTTTCGGCACTTGGTGCTTGGTTGGGACTCGTGGCACTTGCTACAACTTGTGTGAGTCACGGCACTGCCCTCCCAAGAGAAAATGTTTCAGCATGTTCTGTACTTGTCAGTTTCTGCACTTGCCTCGAGTTCCGGAACAAATGAACGAGGTACCACTGTATTTATCATGCGCCTTCAATGTATGCAGATGAAGATGGAAAGTCAAATTTTAGCAATATCTTAAAGCTTGAGTTATGAGATGGATTTAGTCCCTTCATATTCAGATCTTGAAGTCTAACCCCCAGTACCTCAGAATGTGGCTGCATTCGGGCACAGTGACTTTAAAGAAGCAAGTACAATACAGCGAGTTCATACGGGTGGGCCCTGATCTAATACGACTGTCATCCTTGTGAGAAGAGGCTATTAGGACACAGAAACACACAGACCAAGGGGCAGCCATGTGAGGACGCTGTGAGAAGCGGCCATCTACCAGCCAATGAGAGAGGCTGGAAAGAAAGCAGCCCTGCTGACACCCTGATCTTGGACTCCTAGTCTCCAGAACGGGGAGGAAATAAATGTCTGTCGTTTAGCCCACCCAGTCTGTGGTGTTTAGTCATGGCAGCCCGAGCAGACGAAAACAACAAGCATTGTCAGGGTCTGGATCTGGGGAGGGGAGACTCCAGGAGGGCTCCCAGGTCCTTTCCTAAGGTGAGGACACTGGCAGGAAGGATGGATACTGAGCTCTGAGCAGTTTGCGGTTCAGGTGCCAGCGGACACGTGAGAGATGTCCAGTAGGGTAACTGGGGATGTGAGCCTGGAGTTCAGGGGGCAGAACTGAGAAGTGGTACACAATGAAGTCATGCAGCCTTTTAGGTTGTACAGGAAGACCTGAGTGTGACTGAGAACAGAGTGAGAGAGAGTGGCATACTGAAAAGAGCATGGTTTGTGGGTCAAACCATCTGAACTTGAATTCTGCCTCCGCCTCTCAGTAGCTGTGAGACTTTGCACAAGTTACTAGCCCACTGGGAAGCTCAAGTTTCCATCTGTGAGCAGAGGGGATAATGGAACCTCTCAGGGCTCCGGTGAGCCATAAATGATGTGACATGTTACATTCTGGAATGTTCTAGAATAGGAACTCAGATCGAGTGGCAGCTACTCCTATTATAGTAAGAAGCAGGACAAGGAATGATCACTGATACAGAAAGGGTGCTCAGAGGAAGGTGAGCGTCTGAGCAGAGTGAGAAGTAAAATTCAGAGGGGCATCGGGAGAAGAGGGCAAGAGGGTGGGGAAGGAAGTCAAGACAGGAGAAAGTTTCACGGAAACAATCCGTTAGCACCGTCACGCGTCACCGAGAGGCCAAGTTGACAAGCACAGAACAGAGTACAGGGATTCGGTCATTAGGAATCTGAAGGAAAGAGAGATTGTCCTGAAGTAAACGAGAGACAGGGAATGGGGACGTGGAGTGGGGGACGTACAGTGTAGACCTTTCCTTCCAGAAGTTGAACTACGTTCGGCTTGGCCATGCGGGGGTCAAGGGACGGTGGGACCAGGTCCTGCCTACAAAGAGCTTAGATGTGAACACCAACCGTGTATTTGATTATTCAGAAAAAATAGAGGCGTGAACTGAATGGAAAAGGGGCACTGAATTCTTCACCTGTCTTCTCACCTTCGGTTCCTGTCAATCCCACAGTGGAATTGGAACTGAAATCCTAGAAAATTCCTATTTAATTCACAATAGGATGGGATGTTGTCAAATTTCTTACTCTATATTTTTCCTCTTTCAAGATTATGCACTATGTTTTACCTTTTTTCTTAAAAGCTCACGACTTTCTCAATACACAAGGGCAGGTAGGAGACGATGAATGGAAAAGCTGAATCCCATATGCACTCAGCCAAGAATACAGAAGTCTTCAGCCCTCGAACCTCCCACTCCTGTGCTTTTACAACTCTGAGCGGCCGTGGAACACGTGCCGGTACTGGAGGGCGCTCATCAGCTGCCCAGTAACAGCCTCGGGAAAACCCGCATCTGCATGCCTCCCGCACCTCACAGCTGGGAGCATTAGCCTCTCCAGCGGATCCCCACGGGCCTTATTTCATAATAACAGAGAATTCTGGAGAGTTAGGTGGCTTCGACGTATTTACTTATTGAAAATGTCTGTAAATATTTATTTGCTACTTGAAACACTATAAATTAGGAATTCCACATCCTAAATTACACATCTGCAACATAATGTCATTAATGGGATTTCTAAAAAAAAAAAAGGCTTTGAGAGTTATAAAATCTATGCATTTTAATGTTCTAATCTCCCTCATCAAAATGCCCAGCTCTTTATATTTACTTTTTAAACCTTATTTTAGCAGTACAATTTATTTGAAAAATTACTCAGAATAAAGTTGTTTCATATTTCAGTTAAAACAAAGAAAAAAGGAAGCCCCGCAGCTCTCCCTTCTCACCCGGGCACTAGACTGACATTTGTATTGTTTACCGGTGCCTCTGGGGTAAGAAACCTCACAGGCAACTTGAATTAGAGAGCTGTGTACTAGTCAGTGCTATTCTGAGAGGGGATTAATTCACCTCTGACATTAGAGAACATTTCTTCTTTTGAAGCATTTGTGTTTCTCATTCATAATTCATTTAAATCTCCGTCTACAATGTCAAGCTCTAGCAGGCCCACTCTTTCCTTCTGTGAAAAGCATACTTGAAAAATGGAAAAGCAAAGCCCAAGCACCGGGAAGGCTTTTACTCCCTTATTGTAAATGCAGTTCTAAAGGTATGGGAGTGCCTTTAAAAAAAAAAAAAGATTTTATTCATTTATCTTTAGAAGGGAAGGAAAGGAGAGAGGGAGAGAAATATCAGTGTGTGGTTGCCTCTCCTGTGTCCCCCCCGCCGGGAACTGGCCTGCAACCCAGTCATGGGCCCTGACTGGGAATCGAACTGTGATCGTCTGGTTTGCAGGCCTCTGCTCAATCCACTGAGCTACACCAGCCAGGGCAGGGAGTGCTGTTATGAGGAAGTGCTGAATTACAAGACTAAAAGGAAATTTGGAAGTATCATCTGTACTAAAGACACTTTTCTCCTTTTACATCCAAACATCTCTGAAATAGGCATGCACTGTCCGACGAGTGGCATGTCATGGCGTAATTGATGCATGGTACACGAAACATCACATTAGATTTACATATGATAAAATGGTAATGCTTTGCCTTACTAACCAGGTAAACTATTCTAGAAATAAAACTATTTATCATTTCGGTTTTTTTTTAAAATAAAGTCTCTAGATAGTAGAAATAAGATAGTGAGTGATGTGGCAGACGAGGTGTTCTGGCAACATTTCCCATAGCTTAGCATGAAGGCAGGCATCTTGCTCCGCACGCCAAGAAACAAGACAGGCTTAAATCCAGGTAGGGTTTAAATCCATTCCAGCTCTTACTCTGCACACACATACACACACACCACCCCCCTCCCCCTTAGGAGCCATCTCCTTCTCACCCCCAACCTTGCAGAGGTCTCCAGGTTTGGGATGGGTAATCTATCAGCCACCGCGAGAGAAAAGTGGAGATCCCCTCTTTTACTTAATATTTAACTTCTGTTAAATCTTCATCTACATCTTGTTGATAAGAAGACCTCACCAGCCCTAGCTCAGTGGATTGAGAACGGGCGTGTGACCAAAAGATCGTGGTTCGATTCCCTATCAGGGCACATGCCTAGATTGCAGGCCAGTTCCCAGCAGGGGATGCACCAGAAGCAACCATACATTGATATGTCTCTCCTTCTCTCCTTCCTTCCCTTATAAAGATAAATAAATAAAATTAATGAAAAAAAAAGACCTGACCGCTTGAAGCTTTTGGAAGCCCCAGGCCCTCCGGTGCGTTTATAGGTGTGTCGCTGTGCCTGGTCGCTGCCCACAGTTCTTCCAGCAGGTCAAGTCTCAGTGCCTTTTCTGTTGCTTCGCAGGACAGACGTGGGAGCCAGGGACAAAAGGCTAGAAGTCCCTGAGTCCTTTTAGGAAGAATCTGAACTGAAAAACACATGTCCTTGATATTTATAACTGGTCAAAATCATGCTGGAGTTAATTTTCCATCTGTTACGGAAAATTCAACCTACCGAGCTGTCCTGTACCAGAAAGGAGCCTCGGGGTCATGCAGAATTAGAAAGCACGCTTGCCGAAAAGAAATAAGGCTTCCTTGTGAACTGGCTTCTAAATGAACTCAGCTGACAAGAAACCAAAACAGCAGGCCCAGCTGAAGCTTTCCCCGCCAGCCCTGAGGGCCAGCTGGGTCTTTCTGTCACATCAAAGGCACAAACAATTGAACCAACTCGGAGACTCTCATCCTCCCCGCCCATTAGAAGCAAGGGGGACCTACCGGGAATGTGAGTTTTCTTCACCTGAAAGTTGATTTTGCCCGAGAGCTTGTAAATCGCAGTTCCCATCTCTGAGCCCCGGCTCTGCTGTGCAACACAGAGAGACAGCTGAGGGTGACAGGCTGTGCGGACCAGCCCCGGGCTGACCTGTGTGACTCAGAGACCACCAGGAGGCCAGGCTGCCTCTACTCCCCGGCCTCCAGCAAGCTCAGCGGCTCTGCTCATCAGGGCTGTCAAACTTTCACAGCCGTGTCCGTAAATCAGGTGGAGGGAGCAATCAACGGGGTTGATTGGAGACGCCTGCAATGTGCTCGTTAAGGCCTCTGGCAAGCTGCGTGACCTCTGCAGAGTTTTTTAACCTCACTGGGCCCCTGTTTGTTCCTCTGGAAAATACAGCAGTGCTCCCTTATCCTCGGGGGAGCCATTCCAAGACCCCCAGTGGACGCCTGAAATGGTGGATACTGCTGAACCCTATGTGTGTATGAACCCTCTGTATGCTTTTTCCTGTACATGCATAACCATGATAGTTTAATTTATAAATAGGGCCCAGTAAGGGATTAACAATGACTAATAATAAGCAGAACAATCATTATAGTATACTATAATAAAAGTTATGTGAAGGTGGTCTCTCAAAATTTCTTACTGTACCGTCCTCACCGTTTCACTTAAAGGGAGCACTTTAGGGGCTCTCTGTGGCGGGCCCGAATCCCCAGCAACACTACTCTTGTGCCGTGGGGCCATTATTAAATAAAATGAGAGTGCCTTAAATTTGAGAAAAATGAAAACACTTTCAGAGTGGAGTCCCCCAGCACTGCAGGCCTCCGGGTATCAATATAAAACTGTGCCAATCAATCTGACACCGAGATTTCTACACAGTGACTAGTGGGCGGGGGCACGTGCATTGTTGATACCCCGGACAAAAGGAGGAACTGCCCAGAGAGGCATGCAATTTACAAGTTATGAATTGTTTACTCCTGGAATTTTCCATTTAATATTTTTGGAATATGGTTGATCATGGGTAATAAAACCCACAGAAAGTGAACTGCAGATAAGGGGGCACATGCACTTCCAAAAATACCAGGAAACCCCACTTCCTGTGATAGATCAGATCACGACGCCTGGTGCTTGGGGGGGAAGGAGCTGCTGCTCCAGCTGCCAAGAGTTAAAAGGACCGATGCTGCTCATTAGTGTTACTCGACCGGCCAGGCCAGGCCGTAGGTGGGCCTGTTTTCTGTTCGCAGTGAGAACCGCACTGCATCCTGCGAGCGGAACTGCTGTCTGGTGTCATGGCTGTGAAAACTCTAAGCATCCTCTCCCCAGTGGCTACCCGGCTAGTGGTTAGAAATCCTTCATGTAGCTGAGCTTTTCTGTCCCCGATCGCCCTCTTTTGTCAACTTGGAGGCATTTCTATCCTTTGGTTAAACTCTCAAGTCAGTCCTTGGGGAAGGTGCGTTGCTTCACTTTTCTGGGGGCCTGAGGCAGAGAGGAGTTTATGTCAGCGAAGCCGGATCTCTGAGAGGGAGGCGGTTGGGATTTGGCGCAAACCCCTGGGCAGCACAAAAATAGCATTTCTTACTTTTCAGCTGGCTCTGTCATTTATTGGAGTGTGATCTGGGTTCTCAGTTTTCACATCTGTAAAACCAAGGGTGCTTCCAGGTGACCTCCAAGGTTTCTGTAAACTTTCATTTCCTCTGAGATCCTCAAACTGGAGTTTGCACAGCCTAGGGAGGAAAGGATGTCAAGGAATCCACACAAAGCTAAAGGCCAAATATGGGTCATCTTTCTTGGAGCATTAACATTATATATATATTTTAAAGATTTTTATTTATTTTACTTTTAGACAGAGTGGAAGGGAGGAAGAAAAAGAGGAAGAGAAACATCAGTGTGTGGTTGCCCTCACATGCCCCCAACTGGGGACGTGGCCTGCACCCAGGCATGTGCCCTGACTAGGAATTGAACTAGTGACCCTTTTGTTTGCAGGCCCCCCCCCCAGGCCCCCCTACCCCCTCCTCAATCCACTGAGCCACACCAGCCAGGGCTGAACAGTTTCTTAAAAGAGTGAATGTGCAACTGCCATATGACCCAGCTATTTCACTCCTATGCGTTCATTCAGAAGGGAAAGCAGGTGTTCATACAAAGACTTGTGCACAAATTATTACTGTGGCTGACCTTTTCCTCTGATGTTTATATCCTGTTCCTTTGTTTCCATTCTTTTTTTTAAAATAGAAGCTTTATTTTTAATTGCCTCAGACTGGAAACAATTCAAATGTCCATCAACAGGTGAATGAATAAACCCATTTTGCTACAATAAAATATTCACTATTTGGCAGTATTTGAAAAATGAACTAATTTGGTACCTACATTATGTGTGAATTTAAAAATAATTATGCTGAGTGAAGAAGCCGGACCAAAACAAAAGGAGTCCATATTGTGCGACTCCATTTTCATAATACACCAGAAAATGCAAACTAATCTATAGCCACAGAAAGCACATCAGGGGTTAGCTGGGGGCAGGGACAAAATGGTGAAAGGCAAGGATTACCAAGGGGTGTGAGGAAGTTTTGTGGGTGATGAATATGTTCATTACCTTGATAGTGACGATTCCCAAGGTTAAGGGATGAAGCTCCTGAGATGGGAGTAGCTTGGTAGAAAAGTCTGCAGGGTCTCAAGTAGCAGGGCAAATGCACATAGTGCTAGAGAGGAAACCCGTCACCAAAATCGACTGCCACAGATCATGAACACTGAGTCCCCGGAGATCTAGCTCCTTTGCTTGTCATTGTAATGATTTGGATGAACAATCTGGTGGTTAGGATCCTGTTTTTCCAAATAAACTATACTGCCTATTTTTTAAACTATTTATTTATTTATTTATTTTAAGAGAGAGGGGAAGAGAGGGAGAAAGGGAGAGAAACATTGATTGTGTGCCCATCTGGGGATTGAACCTGCAACCCAGGTGTGTATCCTCATTGGGAATCGAACTGGCGGCCTTTCACTTTGAGGGATGGTGCCCAACCGAGTGAGCCACACTGGTCAGGTGCTGGGAACCACTATGCCTGGTTTCAGGAGTTGTAACTGCCCCCCATGGCTAAGGCCGAGTGAGCGACCTCTGGACTGTGAGCCACTAAGGAGACAAAGCTTATCTCCCTGGCAGGAGCACTGCTTCTGCTTCATCCATCTCTGGCCCCCAATGCTTGGTTGGTTAGTCAATGTTGGGTAAGACCCCTGGGGGGGCAACCTAAGCCAGACACAATCACTAGGGAGGCCCACAAGAAAGGACTTGGGGGACTGCAGCAAAGAGGGGGTGATGGACCTTCACACCCCGGCTATTCTGACATAGCCTGAGTCCCCATTTCTGTCTGGGAGAAGCACTTCCTGGCTCGAATCCACTTAAGCCTAAAAACCTATCACAGGGAAGGCAGTGCAGCCCTCTGTGGGATAGAGAGGGTTCCGGGGTGATTGGGCATAAGAAAGAATTCCTAAAATCCTGTGAAGCCCGCTTTGATAAGAGTGCTTTCATTCATATGTTAAGGGTTCGAGCAGGAAATGAGTATGTCTCCCAAAGTTTTTGCAAACCCCTTACCTGACAGACACTGACTCAGAGTAAGCCCTCAGATTTCTTTGAAATGTTATCTATTGTTTGATCCTTGCCACCTGACATTGATTGATGAACTTTACCTGTATTCCTGTTTATTACAACCGAGTAAAAGCCATTGAGGAAGGGGATCTTGGTCCTTCTTTGAGAGAATGACCACCTCTCCTCCCCAAGCAGATCATGTCTTGATAGTGTTATTTTCATCCATGGTGGATGGGGGGACTTGCACACAAAGTTTCCCCCACAGTTATGGATCATATTGTCTATTTTACTGATGAGAATATTTTGATTATAAGTAATAAGAAATCTATCTCAAACTAACTTAAGCAAATAAAGGGATTTATTGGCTCACATACTGAAGGTACATGCAAATACAGCTGGATCCAGGAGCTCAAACAAGATCACCAATTTTTTTTTTTTTTAAGATCACCAATTTTTGATCTCGGTTTCTCTGCTCTTCTCTCTGCAGGGGCTCCCACCTTTGGGAAGGCCTTCTCTAGTGGTGGCAAGATGACTGTCAGCAGCTCCAGGCCTACATCGAGCAAACAGAGTGCTTCTTTTTGCTAAGAATTCCACAAAGAAAATCCAGGATTGAGTCTGGTTGGATGGGCTTACATGTCTATATAGGTGTTAGGAAATGCCAATTGGCCAGACATGGCTTAAGAGCCTGCCCACAGATCAAATGTTATAGGGAATGAATGGTCCATCAAAGAAAATCAGATATCCTCTACACCTGCAACATTAGCCCCTGCAAAGAAGTAATAATTAATTTACTGTGCTGCTTAATTTTATTTCCAGAAAATTTGACTTTGGAAAGTAATTGCATTTTGCATTAAAGATATATAAGATTATGGATTCACGATTAGGAACATTTAAGTTCTAATCACTCAGTGCAGCAGATTTTCTGTCTCTATTCCTTTGAAGCCTTAGCTTAAATGCTAATCGAATTTCACTGCATATGATCTTTATCATTCAATTTAGAAATATACACGATGAAGTAAAAATAAAAGCTACCTCTGCTGTACTAACCATTTTCTCTAGATAGTATTTAATTAAATTTTTTCAGCAACCCGGTAAGAATGTTACAAATGAGAGTGCCGAGGTTCAGAAAAGCTAAGCAACTTGCCCAAAGGCCAAGCTTGCAAGTGGTGAAGGGGATCTGAACTCGGTCAGTCTGAGGCTAAAGCTTGTGTTCTTAGCTGCTGTCACCGCGGGTTGACTTAAGTCTGCAGCATTAGTCTGTCCCCAGGAGTCGCAGCTGCAGAGGGTGAGTCACAGGGAGCCCCGGGGGATCAGCCTCTCAGCCTCACCCATCCTGGGCACTGTTCCCCAGCACCCACTCGGGGGCTGTTAGGGATGGAATGAGGTGAGCCTACTCTTTCAACTTGCTCTCCTGTTGGTGCTAAATTTAATATATCAGGTTTATTTCAGTTTAACATCAGGCTTACAAAGGAATGCTCCCTTTTCAGTACATTTCAATGTGCCTTTTAAGAGCACTAAAGCCAGAGGTTGGCATGGAGCAAAGAGCACTGGCCTAGTTAGGAAACCTGAATCCCTCTCTTTCTGGCTTTTCCCACAACACCCTGTGACCTTGGAAAATCCCCTTAACCTCTCTGAGCCTCAGTTTCCTGAGCTGACACTGAATGAGATCAGTGTTTACCGATGGTGGTAAATCCACTATGGTGGTACTGACAATGAGTGTTTAAAATTTTCAGTACTTATGTACTAATTTCAATGTGTAAAAAGTGTAATAATACATCGAGTCAACTATTTCCCAGGTATCACCTCTTGGGATGACACGCAGTTGAAAGGGCAGAATATTCAGTAAGAAATATTAAGCAAACTCTAGTAGAGGGCCGTGCGGGTACAGCAAACGCTGTGGTGACAGCCTGTGAATGGCTGGCACTTGGGAACGACCGCTCAGGTCCACTGAGCCCTGACTGTGCGCCAGGGACCTTGCACTTCATGTGCGTTAACTTATCTAATACTCCAAAGAGTCCTGAGTAATAGGTACTGTCATTATCATCTTTTTTAAAAAGGCTTTTATTTAATGGATTTCTTTTGGGAGAGAGGGACAGCGAGAGAGAGAGACATCAATTTGTTGTTCTACTTATGTATGCATTCATTGGTTGCTTCTTGTATGTGCCTTGACGGGGGATTGAACCTACAACCTTGGTGTATTGGGATGATACTCTAACCAGCTGAGCTACCTGGCCAAGATCTGTCATTTCATCTTTATTATATGAAAGAGGACACTGGGGCACACAGAGGTTAAGGTTGTTTTTTTTCTTACCACCACCCACCATCATGAGGCCGAGCCAGGATCTGACCTCATGCCATGTTCTTAGGCCTGGCTCTCTGCTGGCAACCTACGTGGAGTGCAAAAGACTCACGAGTCATTGAGACCCTGACAGGACTCTGTAACTCGGCAGGTCTCACGCAGAGGACAACATGAGCGTCAGCTGCCGATCCATAGCCCCTCCTTCAGCAATCCTGGCCCTTAGCGTGCAGGGCACAGGAATGCAAAGTTTTCACGATCACTCAGTTAGTTCTGAAGCAGGTCCCAGAGTGACTGGAACAGTGAGTAGCTGTTGCGAGATGAACCCACTAGACTTCTCTCTCTTGTTCACCTGGCCTGCCACTCCCAGCCTGTGAGACCGAAGTAACGAGCTGACATCATGTGTCTTTCAACTGTTCATTTTACAGGCAACGTGGTAGCAGTGAGGAATCAAATGATCTTGATTCCCGCGGCTGTTCTGACAGCATAGCTCTATGATTCTGATCTCCCTACAGTAACAAAAGAGCAGAGAATGGTAGGAAGGTAGAAAAACTCAGGGTGGAATCAAGCAAACTTGGGTCTGCACAATCCCACCCACACTCACCACCTCCACCTGCCAGCTCATTTCCCCCTTTCCTGGCCAAGGCTCATCACCCTCACACGTAGGCTGGGGACATGGGGCTTCACAAGGCTGAAAAAGAAGCAGAAGAATGTGTATGACTCCTCCAAAGAGGTAATGAGGACAAGAGATGCTTGTGCCGCAGGCACGGACTGGCTAGTCAGCCTGCTAAGGAGTGAGAGACGGTGAAAAGAGGACAAAGAGGCGAGGATGCTTTCAGAGCTTCTGAAAAGAAGGA